ATGAAGCTGACTTTGAACTTGCAAACCTCCTGCCTCAGCCTCCCAGGTCATTAGGAGGAACAAAAATTTTTTTTAAAAGTATTTTTTTGGTTGTTGATAGATCTTCATTTATTTATTTATGTGTGGTGCTGAGAATCGAACCCAGTGCCTTATACATGCCAGGCAAGTGCAATACCACTGAGCCACAGTGCCAGTCCAGGAAACAAATTTTATAATGAAACTAATGTAGCTTTTATATCTGTTTATTTTCTATAAAAACCAATAAATAACTTGTCCACTCAATCACATAAAAAATCTCTTTCAAATTCCATTTAAAAAACTCTTTTGCAACTTTATAATTTACCCCCAAACCTTAGCTTTTGCATTATATCTCTTTCTATTTTGGGATCACAGTAATCTTTGCAACAAAAATTTATCCATCAGAACTTTACTTGGGTTTCATTTTAGCCTACTTTGAAGCCATCCTAACATTAAGTAGGCCAAGAGTTAAGAGCCTCATCTCTCAGATGAGGCTGGCCTTTTGACAAATCTTAAAAGTTTTTTTTTTTTTTTTTTTTTTACATTTGAGGCTAATATGCATCTCCTTTCTAAATGTCATTCTATTTAGGAACATAAGAAAACAAAGTTCTCATATATTGTTTCCTGAGCATATTTGTATGTCAATTAACATGTTAACATCTGAAACATGACTCAAACAGAAAGGCTAACAGAGCTCTTAGTTTCCTTTCTTTGTGGAAAAAGTGGCAAAACGTTTCTATGTTCCACATTGCCAACCTTTAAATGAACTAGGTTGTCTTTATTATCTTTTCAAAAATCCATTTAAATTTCCACCCAGTGTAAAGAGTAATTCTCTCTATATAATTTGTTGATAATAGGTTACTTTAATCTAATTATAAAATATTAGTTGACACAAATAAATCCCCATCCAAATTAGCTATCTTTGTATATGCCTGAAAAAGCCCATCACTATTAACAATTTTAGATTGGAGAATACCAGCTTAGTAAAGTGCTCTCCTCAACTTTACATTGAAGAAGGCTTATCACAGTTACACAGATGTCCTTTATATACTTATTAACTTAATTTTAAATCTTGAAACAAAATTCAGAATTCATGGCTTCATAGGACAAGTACAATTAAAAATCCATAGAGGTTAACAGCATTGACAAAAATTCAAGGATATTAACCTCTTATAAGTCAATGAACACAAACAGACATAGTACCTGATATACAAGTGCATCTCATATGTATAATAACAAAGTGCTTATTCAGTTAAAGCAGATGCAGACCAAATATAAATGGCAGAAATGCCAAAAATTTCATTGACCATTTTGAGTGTTAAGATTCAGATATAATGTATATTGTAAAGAAGAGAGCACTTATGGGTTACCTTGCTTATATTAAACCTATGTAGCTTTTTATATGAACTTTTGCATATCATTTAGACATTTAACTCTCAGATGTAAACATATCTCTAGTCACATATATTTAGGGTTCAAATATACTATAATAGACTAAGATTAGAGTTATTCATTTAACCAGAGTTTTGAAGTGATCATTTAAAAGACTTTAAAACAGACAGGTACTTAAATCCTAATTCTTTTAAGACTAAGTTTCCTTAAGTAATGGAAACTAATAGACATAAGACATTATCTTGATAAAATACAAAATCTTTATTTTTATTTTTTTATTTAGGTACCGGGGATTGAACTCAGGGGCACTCAACACTGAGCCACATCTCTATCCCTTTTTTGTATTTTATTTAGAGAGAGAGTCTCACTGAGTTGCTTAGCGCCTCACAGTTGCTGATGCTGGCTTTGAACTCTTGATCCTCCTGCTTCAGCTTCTGCAGCTACTGTGATTACAAGCATGTACCACCTTGCTAGGCCAAAATCTTTATTTTTTAAGCCAGTTCTTGCAAATGTTATTAAGAGCAGATCAATGATTTAAGAAAACCTTGTTGTCTTAAACATAGAGAATTAGATTCTGGTTTTATGTCAGTATATTAAATTTTGACCTTACAAAACCCTTACACAATCTTTTAATTATAGTCAACTTCATCACACAAATTTCCAAAGGTTTATCTTCCATAAACCTCTGTGACTTAATTGGACACTCTACAACTTGTTTCCATCCTTAGTTTTGTCCCCTCTCTCTTTTTCCCATCTTGAACTTTAGAACAACAACAAAAAAATCTCACTTTTTCATTCAGAAATATTCTCCAAAATAAATCTTCATACTCAAAACCTTTTTTAGGTCTGGGGATGTGGCTCAAGCGGTAGCGCGCTCGCCTGGCGTGTGTGCGGCCCAGGTTCGATCCTCAGCACCACATACGAACAAAGATGTTGTGTCCGCCGAGAACTAAAAAATAAATATTAAAAAATTCTCTCTCTCTCTCTCTCTCCCACTCTCTCTTAAAAATAAAAAACCTATTTATATCTCTTTATCCTTCTTGCTGATTCTTTTCTGCCTCTTTGCTTCCTTACTTAAGGTTATAATTTAAAACAGCCTTTATGAAATTTCTGAACTTAAGTCAAATTACTCCTTTTTGTCAAGAAGACAAAATATGCTTTTTACATAAAATCCTCAGAGGACTGCAATATGCAGCCCTGCCTGGGAACCATGGCCTGATGGTCTTGACCATGCTTGATTGTCACACTGGCTTCCCCCTCCCTAAAGGTTTCTTATTTTTCCCAAGGACTATTGAAGTTCACCTCCTCAGAGGGTTCTTACATGACTCAAAAAGGCAATTTATCCCCACTTTGTATTACCTTCACCTGATTTTTTTCTTTTTAATATTATCATTTGATAATATCATTTTGCTTATTATTATTTTCTTCCTGATTGCTCTTCTCTAAGTAATAGTGGAGATGTGGGTTTGCCTGTTGGGATAGGGACAGGGTCTTTATCTTGTCCAATTGTTGAATCTACAAGTGAATGAGTAAATAGCTTATCATTAAGAGGTAGTTTCATCATCATCATCATTATTGTTATTTTAAATCATCATTATTTTAAATCCTTGTTGTGTGAATGAGAAAATTGAGGTAGAGGGGTTAAGGTTCCTACCTAGTTTCTTCCAGCAGCAGGCAACAGGCCCAGGATGCAAGCTTGCGTTTACCTGACTCAAGCAAAGCACTCTCAACAAACCTCTGTCCTGTCCCTCCTTCCATCTATGTTATGGTCTTCGTTTTTTAGTCACTGGGTATGCTAACTTCTGGAAACTCTTCATATGGCGGTGCCAGATACACTAATCTGAAAGGAATGTGCTCACTCACTATGCAGTTTTCCAAGGTGGCTGGGAGAATGAACCTTTTACTGCTCAAGGCCGTTGACCTTGGCAGTGTAATGATGGAGAGAATCTGGGACTAAGAGAATGGAATCCGGCAGCTACCAAGATGAAGGAATGATGCTGGAAATACTTCTTTGCCTAATTCTGGGTGATGCTCTAGGGAGTTTTGCTAAGAGCCACAGCAGAGTAATATGATGCATGGCATTTTTGGTTGAAAGGTGACGCCAGCAAGCCGTTGAGATGATATGATTATGTTAAGATCTGCATTTATATGGATATTGGACTCCTGCTGTCCACCTAGGCCTGCTAGGGGCTCCTGGAGAGTTCCCATTGGTTGGGGAAGTGCCGTAGGAGGGAATTCCCGAGGAGGGACTTCCTGTTGGGGTGGGGGGAGAACTCCGCTTGGGTCAGTTGGCAATCTTGCCTGGAGCACACGGGGCATTGGCGGCAGTTTCAAAAATTAAGTTTGTTCCTGCTTGAGTGGCTCCTGATTTTGTGCCCAGCCAGACTGCCGCAGAGTTTCAGTGCTGACATTATAGCCCCCACCATCCACCTAGGAGCACTCCCACATGGGCATCTCTCATACAATCTACAGGATCAGCTGCAGGAGAAATGATTTCAAGTAATGCTTCTGCCATGTACCATTTGGGCAAGTCCTCTTGTCCCTTGGACCTCAAATCACACTTGTGTGTAATGAAGAGGTTCCCTAAGATGGAAGAGGGGAGAGTTTATCATAATGAGAGGATCATTAGAAAAATCTGGAGCCTAGTTGACAGTAAAGTACAGATGACATGTTCTTAGTTTTTGGAAAAGTGCCATGACATTTTAATGTTAAAAAGGGAATTGGAAGAGAGTTTCGAACTATTTCCGTAAACTTTTCTATAAATTTAAAATTCATTTCAAAATACAGTTTATTAAAAAAAAATTAGGTGACTTTTAATTTTTACTTGTGCACTCATTTACCTAACAATGACTATTATGTGTCAGGCACTGGGTATCCATCAGTGACTAAAATTTATGGTTTTACCTCTTGTGAAGTGTACAATCTAGTGGTTATTTGCTAGAAATAATATTTCTAATGTTTTTACTTAAAGCAAACTTCAACTAGCAGAGTCAGGTTGTTTCATCTCTTAGCTGTGTGACTTCCGCAAAGCTAACCTCACCGCATTCCCTCTGTGCTAAAACAGGGCTAAAACCTAGATGCTCTCCATAAGGCCTTAGCCTGCCTTAAAGCATTTATAATAAGAAGACAGTGATTCGTAACGTGAGCAGTTGTTGTCTATGCAGGGAGCATGTCATGTTTGAGGAGAAGGACTTGGTCGTGATAAAACTGGGTACGTGGGTCCTTAAGATCCCCGGGTGGTGACGGACACATCCCTGCCCCCCGCCCTCCCGCTCCGGTCCCCCTAACCGCTCTCAGTTCCCGGGCGCCTCACGCTCAGCTCCGCCCCGCCCTGTCTCCCAGTCTCGCCCCGCCCTAGCGCTCAGCTCCGCCCCGCACTGGGTTCCGCCTCCCCCCACCCAGCTCTCAGCCCCGCCCCTCTCTGGCGCTCGGCCCCGCCCCTTTCTCGCTCTAAGCTGTGTTGGGTTCCTCCTCCGGTTCAACCTCTGCACATTGGAAGGAGGCGGTTTATATTCGCGCTGGGGGGCGGAGCCGGGAAAGATCCTTCCAATTCCTACCCTAATATCTCCCACTGGGCGGAGCTGGACAGGGCAGGGCCAACCTGCTGGTGGCTGAACTCAGCTTTTGCACAGCGAAGCACAGCTTTGCATACCCAATGAAGGCAGGCATTTAAAGGCGCCGCTGGTGCTTCAATCCTTGTAGTTAACTCCTCGCGGATCCACCCTTCGCGATGCATTCCTTGATGCGTACTCTGCTCCTGATCTTCCTGGGCTTGCTTCTTGCCGGCCCTGCGGCCCGGGCGCGCGCAGTCCTAAACCGCGTGAGTTCCCCCTCCTTTTAGGAGGCTGCTTGCAACCTCCTGGCCCTACTGGGGTTGTGCGGGTGGGTGGCATATGGGGCTGTGGTCTCACTGTCTCTTAGTGTTTCCTTTTCTGCAAGCAGAGCCTCCCAAAGCGATCAAATATGGGACTCTGTGCAGTGATGGTGTAGTGCTCCATACTCTTTTGAAGGGAGTAATCTCGCTCCCATCTGTATTCCTGCCCTCTCCTAGCGCCTGAGCTGCATGCACAGACCCGCAGAGTTAAAGCACTGCTCCAGGCGCAGAGACTTGGACCTGTTTCTCTGCTCCATACCCATTATCCCTGCTTCCCGTGATGGGGCCTGGTGCCTCATGCCTTCTCTTGCCCAAATTCTCTGAATTCTTCCTGGGGAGTGGGTGGGAGGTCTATACTTGTCCAGACCTGTGACCCCGCTGGTTGTGGGCCACCAAGAGGACAGGCCTTCCCACCTTCCAAACTTCCCCCTTCACTTCTTTTTTATCCCATGCTGCAGACCCCTGGAAAAGGGAAGTTCTGTCATTCTGAGACCTAATTAGTCCCGTTCCATTGCCTCTTTGCTTCACAGCTGTGGACAAGACACTTCTGTGGTAGCAAAGGGACAGGTCAAATGCAGATCACTTCCCCACACCACCTTGGAGGTTTGTTCCAGAGAGAGGAACAGTACGGTGTAGGGGAAAGTGGGTAGGACCCATCAGAGGAGGCCTGGCTTCTGATCCCTCTCTGTTCCAATCCATGACTCCCTGAGTCTTGGTTTTTTCATTTGTAGAGTGTGATGTCTGGGTTGTTGTCAGGAAAGGAAACTGCCTTCTCTTGATCTCCCTTGCTCAGAGCAGGAAGACTATTTTGCCTGTTTCTTTTTCTTTTTTAGATGTTGCTAGACCTTTATTCATTTTATTTTATTTTATATGTGGTGCCGAGAATCTAGTGCTCACACATGCTAGGCAAGCACTCTACCACTGAGCCACAAACCCAGCCCCTATTTTGCCTGTTGAATGAAGGAGTGAGGACCTTTTGGCCTTATGTACACAAAGCCTTTGCACCTTGTCTCTCAGTGTGGTTGAGGCATGGCTACCCACTGTGGGGTCTGGTAGAGGCTCTGAGCTTGCTCTACATCCCTGTTCTCTTGTATACCTTGTGTATGGGTACCATCCCAAACCATTGGGGTCTTAGACTGGCAGTTTTAGCTAGGCTCTGAGACATCATAGAGGTTACCCACTTCACTCAGTCCTTTAGGGGCTCACTGAAGATCACACAGCAAGTGGCACTTTCAGTTTATATTTTCTTATCAAGTATATATTTTCACTGGGCTCATGTGATTCAGAGTCCTGGCAGGATTCTGTGACAAGGGCCAGATAAAGGTAGTGGGGTGACAAGTCAGTGTTTCAGCCTCTGGAAACCTGAATTCTAGTTCTGGCATTAATCCAACTCAGTGATTCTGGGCTATTAAAAAGTCTATTAAGCACCTTAGCTCTGTGGAGGCACATAGTAGGTGCTTAATAGACTTTTTAATGCTATACAGTGTTATTTATTGTACACTACTAGGTGTTATGCATTGAGTCTTTTGCTTTTTTTTCTAATACATTTTTAAATTTTGAAATAATTTTAGATTTATAGAAACTATGCAAAGATAGTATAGAGCTTCAATATTCACCTAGTTTTCATTGTTAGCATCTTATATTATCAGCATACTTTGTCAAAACTATGAAACCAACATAAGTACATTATGATTAACTAAACTCTAGATTTTATTTGTGTTTCACCAGTTTTCCATTAATGTCTTCTTCCTGTCCCAGGATCTGGTTTAGGGCACCACGTGGTATTGTCATGTCTTGCCACTGTCTTGTGGCCTGTGATATTTTCTCAGTCTTTCCTTGTTTTTTTTTTTTTTTTTTTTCCCACGAGCTTGAAAGTCTTGATGAGTTGAACTCTGTGCTTTGTGTATACAAGTTTCTTACCCTCGCAATAACCCTGCGAGAAGATATAATTAAGCCCATTTAATAGCTGAGGAAATTGAATCTTGAGGGATTCACTTAGCTATGGTCTCAGCAGTGAGAGCTGCTGAGGCATGATTTTCACCTATGTCTCTGATTTGCACAAATATTTCTGCCTCCATTGTCAGGTCTTTCCCATCTTCCATATGCTGCTTCTTCCCATGTATTGGTCTAGGATGGGGATGGCAGATGCCTGGTACTCAGCCTGGTCCTGGGTGGGCATTGCTAATTATTTACTTTCCCCAGGGAGCCTGGATGCAGCTGCAAAACCCCTCCCCATAGCTGCGGCTAGCCAGGTGGTACCTGAAAAGTACCTTATTACATCTCCCCCAGGACCTAGAAATACGGAAGGAGTTTAGGAGAGGGGAGAAGGATCTAAAGGGGTATTCTGGAAACTTCCCTCAGCTCAGAAATAATCCTCAATGTGAATCAGATTATTTTAGAGTTGGGAAAGCAGCCTCAGAGAATAGTGAGTCCTCCTACCTATTTCTTCAGCCCAGATCTTAACTCCAGGTACTTTTTCACTTGATAGTGACCTCCCAAATGATCCCCCCTTTCAGGTTGTCTGTTCACAACTATAAATCAGAGCCTGGTGTTTTTCTTCAGTGGGTTTTATTGCACCATGGTCAATTCAGCCTCCTGATTATAACCTATGAAGTCCTATATTAAATGACCTTGCCACCCCTCCAGCCTCAGCCATGTTCCTCCTCCAACACATCTAGCCTGTTGGCTTTGTAGTGAGTGCCTGGTGCAGCTAGGCTTCTTTCTGCCGCAGGGCCTTTGCTATATTCTCTCAGCACACACATGGCTGACTCCTCATCCTTCAGGTCTAGCTTTTCCCCACCACCCTACTTAAGTGGGTCCTTTGTTACTCTCAACATCACCTTCTGTTCTTTTCCTTTGTGGCACTCAAAAATTTTAGTGCTGTTTATTTATATTAGACTATAAGCTCCACAAGGCAGGGCAGGGGCCATGTCTGATTGTTTACCACTAATTGACACAGTCCTTAGGGCCTGTAGTTGTTGCTCCATACATATTTGTGGAATGAATATTGAAGGAAACATTTGCTGGCACCTATTCCGTCCTGCCTTTCTTAGTCACGGTGGGACTAGTCATTCCAAGGATTAGAAACCCATTCCAAGGAGCTCAAGTAAAGGGAAGTTTAACAGGTATACACGGAACTCAGGGCAGGAAGTGGAGGCTGGGATGTCTCATGGCTGTCATTTAGTGAGCCAGCGTGAATTTTGGCCTGGTGTTATGAGCTTGACATCCATGCTTGTCCCCTTGTGACAGCCTTGAGAGGGAGATAAAAATGCCTCCACATAAAAGATGTGGAAACTTTGGCTCCAGGGGGTTCTGACCTATGGAATTACTCAGGAAATGTGGCCGAGCTATGATTTCAGCCTGGGTCAGCTTGACCAGAGCCTTCCTTTGACATGCGTCGCTCCAAAGCCATGTCCCTCACTGCTTTGTACACAGGGTAGTCACTTTATCTTGTTCCCTTTTCCACAGACCAGCAGAACCCTTCATTCTTTCTCAACGTCAGTTTGGTCATGATTCAGGTCTGGATAGAATATCTTTGCCAGCTACTCTTCCAACAGAAGATTTATATCCATAATATATATATGGAGATACTTATTATATTATATTATTAATATAGTGTGTGTGTGTGTGTGATATATATATATATATATCAACACCAAAATAAACCCAAATAACCCAATCAGTAAATGGGTAAATGAACTAAACAGACATTTCTCAACATTAGATGCTTTGGCCCCAACCCCAAACTCATGACCCAAGAGCACTTAAGCCCCATGTTCCAGGGATGATACAGTCTTTTGTGTCCTCATTCTAAAATCAGAATCTGTCAATCTTTGGGTTAGGTGTTTCTTTTCCTCCACGCCCTCTTTGGTGCTGGGGATTGAACCACATGTTCTCTCTTGTCCAGTCAGCTGTGGGGATGTTGAAGATGGAGGTCAGCTTGGAAGCATGGGACTGGCAGGTTTTCTTTTTAAGACTGAGTGTGGATGGTGGGACTCTTGATGGTCTCATGTAGGTGGCCTTTGGGGGCTGGGAAAGGTGTGAGCAGGTGGGAGAGTTTGTACAGAGTGGGGTGTGTTAAAGATCATGAGGTCCTGTGGGAGTGAGAAGTGAGCCGGACAAGATGGGGTAGAATCAGGAGACCTCCTGGGGGATCTGGAGGAAGAATGAGAGAAGTGGCTCTGCAGAGGAACGGAGGAGGGTGACTCAAGTAGGGGGACGTGGCATGAGTGATGGAGTGAGAGTAAGAAAGCGCTACCTGGGGTGGGGCAAGTCTGTTTCCTGGGGATTGTTCATCAACAAGGGTCCCACGGGGGATCTTTGCATGTGTGTCCTTGTTCTCTTGAGGATAGGGCTTGGGGTGCTGTTATGTTTCCCACGTGCTTTGTGTTCTTTGTTGTTCCTGGCCCTGGATTGAGCATGGGGTATGATGTGAATAGGGTCCTGGATGTGGATTTCAGAGGTGAGTCTTCCAGGAGCTTGTCATCTACTGGGATCCCAAGGCTGGCTAGAGAGGAGTGGGCAGCAGGGAGGGGGCAGATCCGAGAAGGCACCTGCCAAAAAACAAGGTTAGTCGTCTATTTTGAAGTTCAAGGTCTTTTATATTGTGCCCTATAATGTTCGATATACTATATAAGGGCTATACTCTTTTATTATAGTCCTGCCTATAAAATGGGTAGGACAAATGTAATCCCAAATTTAAAATAGAGGGTTGCAGATGGCTCAAAGAGGGGAGGTGCCTCATGTAAGGTTGTACCATCGGTAGGCTCACACCATCAGCAGCCTGTTCTGTCAATTCTTCTGACCTGAGATGGTTCCATTGTTTTTTTGAGTTCAAATATTTTATGGGATTCATGTATGTAATTAAAATAACCAGTAGCAATGACAATTCTTTTATCATTTCAAATGCATACGTATCACTCCGAATTTTTCATATCTTGATTCATAAAAACCAAAATAATCTGTCAACTTCACTTTTTTCCTCTTTCTTTGTTACCTGACTGTCCCTAGCCCCCCCAGCTTGGTAGCTTTTCCTGGGATAACTGTGATGAAGGGAAGGACCCTGCTGTGATCAAAAGCCTGATGTTGGAACCTGACCCCATTGTCATTCCTGGGAATGTGACTGTCAGTGTTGAGGGCAAGACCAGTGTTCCCCTCACTTCGCCTCAGAAGGTGAGTTGGGGTAAGTGGGGAGAGGGAGGTGGTATGGGCAGCCATCCGAGGCCCTGAGAGGCAGTTGCTCAGGGAACTGAAGAATTTTCGAATCCAGCGATCCAAGAGCAGCACATAAGGCACAGATCTAGTGACTCTTATTAAGCTTTGTGAAATCTCAGGATCACAGGGTTGCAGGGAATCCCTGATGTCAGCCCAATGACTTCCTGAAGAGGGCATGGATGATTGATCCATTCTCTGGACGTGATGGTCCACTCTGGTTGGCAATTGGGTTTTGTTGTTGATGTTAATTACAAAGTAGTGACATATAGTTATAAAACCATGTTAGAAACTGCAGATGGTTAAAGGTCAGGAAATAATACAATCAATAAGTTGGGTGGCATCAATTAAAAAAGAACTTCTGCACAGAAAAGGAGACAAGAATGTGAAGAAAGAGTCTACTGGATAAGAGAATATCTTTGCCAGCTACTCTTCCAACAGAAGATTAATATCCATAATATATATATGAATCTCAGGAAAATCAACACCAGAATAAACCCAAATAACCCGATCAATAAATGGGCAAATGAACTAAACAGACATTTCTCAAAAGAAGAAATACAGTTGGCCAACAAATATAAAAAGAAATGTTCAGCATCCTTAATCAGCAGGGAAATGCAAATCTAAACTACACTTCTAAACTAGACTTCATTTTACTCCAGATAGAGTGGCAATTGTCAAGAATACAAACAGCCAGGTGTGGTGGCGCACGCCTGTAATCCCAGTGGCTGGGGAGGCTGAGGCAGGAGGATCGTGAGTTCAAAGCCAGCCTCAGCAACTTATTGAGACCCTAAGAAACTCAGGGGGACCCTGTCTCAAAATAAAATACTAAAAAGGGCTGGTGTGGTGGTGTGGCTCAGTGGTTGAGTGCCCCTGAGTTCAATCCTCAGTACAAAAAAAAAAAAATGCTGATGAGGATGTGGGGAAAAGGAACATTACTCTGTTTGTGGGACTGTAAATTAGTATAACCGTTATGAAAATCAATACGATGTTTCCTCAAAAGACTAGGCATACAGCCACAATATGACTTATCCAAAAAAAGTAAAGTCAGCATACTATAGTGAGTGATACAAGCATACCTGTGTTTATAGCAACACAATTAACAATAACCAAGTTATGGAACCATTCTAGCTGTCTGTCAAATGGATAAAGAAAATGTGGTATGTATACACAAGGGAGTTTTTTTTTTTTTGTTTTGTTTTTTTGCATTGAGGAGATGCTCTATCATTAAGTTATATCTCTAGCCCTGTCTATCTATGTGTCCTTCTCTGTTTATTTAGAGATAGGTCTTGCTAAGTTGCCAAGGCTAGCCTTGAACTTGTGATTTTCCTGCCTCAGCTCCTGACCTGCTGGGATTACAGATGTGGGCCATGGTGCCTGGCTGCTCTTTTTTCTATTATTTTACTAGTCATAAATTTGGACCAAGACAATGATGCCTAGCCTGTGAAGGAAACAGAGAGGTCATTTTTTTTTTTGAAACCGCAGGAAACTTTGACTCAGATGTAGGTCTCCTTGCAGTCGTGAGATCCACATACCTCACTGTCAATGTGAAGAAACAAGTCCTCAAGAGGGGAGAGGGCTTGTGAAGGGACCCAGCAGGTACTTGCCAACTTAGGGCTGGAACCCAGGATTCATCAGTGCCTCTGTGTCATGGAAGTGCCAGTGAAGTTGTGGAACAGAGAGGTTGATGGTACCTTCTCATCCAGCCCTGCTTGCTTCTCTTTGAGCAAATAGATTGAGAACTAGAAATAAGTCATAGAACTAGAAATGACCCAGCTACACCACTCCTTAGTATTTATCCAAAATAAGTAAAGTCAGCATACTATAGTGAGTGATACAAGCATACCTGGGTTTAGAGCAACACAATTAACAATAACCAAATTATGGAACCATTCTAGCTGTAATCTCCAAGTGGTAGGCATGGCTGTGACCTCAGATCTGGCTGTTGACTTAAGTTCAGTAACTTGTGCTGCTTGTCTACAGGGCCTTGCTGGTTTGGGGTGGGGGTAGAAAGGTGTAAGGGAAGCACTGCTCCTTCTGGCAGGTGCAGCCCAGGCAGGACTTGCTTCCCCCGTCCCCTCAGCTGGGTGTTCTTGTTCAAGGCATAACTGGCTCAAGCATTTTCACTGGGGTATTGGAGAAACAAGGAGAGAGCATCAGCCAAGGGAGAAGTCAGGCAGGCAGGAGATAGATGTGTCCCATCCCCCTGCCCCACTCTACTGGGGATTAAATCCAGAGCCTCGAAAATGCCAGGCAGACACTCTACCACTAAGTGACATCCTCAGCTCACTTTTTTTTTTTTTTAAATGATTTCCATTTAATTTTTTTTTTTAAATGTGTATTAGTTTCTTTTTTTTTTTTTTAATATTTATTTTATTTTTTTAGTTATCGGCAGACACAACATCTTTGTATGACACAACATCTTTGTTTGCATGTGGTGCTGAGGATCGAACCCAGGCTGCACGCATGCCAGGCGAGCGCGCTACCGCTTGAGCCACATCCCCAGCCCCGATTTCCATTTAATTTTATTTTGGGTCAGGATCTTGCTAAGTTGCCCAGGCTGGCTTTGAACTTGCAATTCTTCTGCCTCAGTCTTCTGAGTAGCTGGGGTTACAGGCCTAAGCTGCCATGCCTGGCAGGAGACAGTTTTTGCATTCCAGGCATGATGCTAAGTGCTGGACAGCTATTGTCCCACTTAGGGAGACCTTGTGAGAGAGACTGGAACTATAAAATACCCCACTTTTGAAGGTGAGGGAATGGAAACTGAGAGAAGTAGAGTAACTCCCCCAAAGGCATCCTACTAGAAAGGGGGAGAACTAACCTTCCAACTCAGGACCTCTGTCTGGCTCTTCCTGGTCAGAGGAGTAGGAGCAGGCTTGTCAGAGAGGAGGGAGGACTGGTGGAAGGGCTACTGTGCAACTAGGGGTTTGGTTAATGGTTGTGTCCTAGAGCAGTTAAGGCCAGCAAAGGAATTCAGTTTGAACTTGTCCATACAGGATACAGGGTGTTCTGACTTGTCCATTCTTGCTGGGCCTGGAGGAGAGGAGCCAATATTCTGATACTTGGAGTAGTTGGAAGGCTTCAGTTGGTAGCCTGAGAACCAGCCTGAGCCTAGCAGACTGTGAAGAAATAAGTACTTCTCCAGGATCTGTCTCTTAGAAACAAAATCCCCCCAAAGCAAGGCTGGGATTCATAAGTTGCTGGAATGTCGGAGTGGAAAGGGATTCTAAAAATGTGGCTTCCTGCCATAAATCTACAAAAAGTTGGATGTTTAAGAGCTAACTTCCTTGGGCTGGGGATGTGGCTCAAGCAGTAGCGCGCTCGCCTGGTATGCGTGCGGCCCGGGTTCGATCCTCAGCACCACATACAAACAAAGATGTTGTGTCTGCCGAAAACTGAAAAATAAATATTGAAATTCTCTCTCTCTCTCTCTCTCTCTCTCTGTCTCTTTCTTCAAAAAAAAAAGAGCTAACTTCCTGCTGCCTCTTCCTTACCATTTCCCTTAATAGCTTTAGTGGAGCATGAAGGTGGGGACAACTCATTTTGGCACTGGTGGAGCTTATGTAGAATTCATGCTCGATGTGTGCAAGGTACAGCTGGGCTGACTGCTTCTGGGTGAGCTCTGTCCTCTGGAACGGGAGCAGGACCATGACAGCACTGAGGTGTGAGACACATTCTAGATCTTCTCATTCAGCTTCTCAGGTTTTGAGGATCCTTTTGTGGCTTCCCCAACTGAGACTGGAGAGCCTGCCACTTCTGCAGATAGTTTCATCTGTTGTAACCCAGCTGTGATTAAGACCTTGTTATTATTATTTTTGATTATATGACAACAGAATGCATTATGATTCATATTACACATATAGAGGATAATTTTTCATTTCTCAGGTTGTACACAAATTAGAGTCACATCCTTCTTGTCTTCTTACATGTACTTAGGGTAATGATGACCCTCCATTCCACCATCTTTACTACCTTTATGCTCTCTCCCTTCCCTTTTCCCCTTTGCCCTATTTAAAATTCATTTAATCTCTCCCCCCGCCCCACATTATGGATCAGCATCCTTAAATCAGAGAAATTATTCAGCATTTGGTTTTTTGGGATTGGCTACTTTCACTTAGCATTATATTCTCCAGCTTCATCCATTTACCTGTAAATGCCATGATTTTATTCTCTTTTAATGCTGAGTAATATTCCATTGTGTATTTATACCACATTTTTTTCTGTTCATCTACTGAAGGGCATTTAGGTTGGTTCCACAGTTTAGCTATTGTGAATTGTGCTGCTGTAAACATTGATGTGGCTGTGTCCCTGTAATATGCTGATTTTAAGTCCTTTGGGTATAGACTGAGGAGAGGGATAGCTGGGTCAAATGGTGGTTCCATTCCAAGTTTTCCAAGGAATCTCCATACTGCTTTTCATATTGGCTGCACTAATTTGCAGTTCTACCAGCAATGTATGAGTGTACCTTTTCCCCCACATCCTCTCCAACACTTATTACTGTTTGTGTGCATAATAGCTGCCATTCTGACTGGAGTGAGATGAAATCTTAGAGTAGTTTTGACTTGCATTTCTCTAATTATTGAATATTTTTTCATGTACTTGTTGATTGATTATATATCATTTTCTGAGAAGGGTCTGTTCAGTTCCTTGGCTCATTTATTGATTGGGTTATTTGTTTTTTTTTTGGTACTAAGATTTTTGAGTTCTTTATATATTCTAGACATTAGTGCTTTATCTGTGTGTATGATACGAATTTATTCCCAATTAGTAGGCTCTCTATTCACCTGATTGCTTCTTTTGGCTGTGAAGAAGCTTTTTAGTTTAAATCCATCCCATTTATTGATTCTTGATATTAATCTTGCTCTATACGAGTCTTATTGAGGAAGTGGAGATTTTGGCCTACTTTTTCTTCTAATAGACACAATGTCTCTGTTTTAATTCCTAGGTTCTTGATCCACTTTGAGTTGAGTTTTGGGCATGGTGAGACATAGGGGTTTAATTTTATTTTCTTGCATATGGATTTCCAATTTTCCCAGCACCATTTCTGTCAGAAGTATAGCTGATAGGCTTCTCCTTGGTCACCAACTCCAGTCATTGCTTAAAGCTGTCTGAAGTCCTGTGTAGAAGAGTTCTGCAGACAAGATGGCCTTAGAAGGAGCCAGGAAACAATGCCACAGTGAAGCTAATTAGTGCAATTTCAGTGGCAAGTGTTAGTTTTAATCAATGGGTAGTGACAACCTCAAGAATTCTAAAATTGAGCCATGCTCAGTAGAACATGCCTTTAATCCCAGCCATTCAGGAGGCTTAGGGTAGGACAATTGCAAGTTTGAGGACAGTCTCAGCAACTTAGTGAGACTTGGTCTCAAAAAATAACAAGGGCTGGGGTATAGTTCAGTGGTAGAGCACCCTTAGGTTCAATTCCCAGTACTGGAAAAAAAATTAACATTCAATAATTAACGCCTACCATGAGCACAGGAAAGGATGTTGTGCTGGGGCATGTACCACAATATTGTCCTTCTGGGATCAGGCGTAGTGGTGCACACCTGTAATCCCAACAACTTGGGAGGCTGAAGCAGGAGGATTGTAAGTTCAAAGCCAGCCTCAGCAACTTAGCAAAGCCCAAAGCAACTTAGTGAGACCCTGTCTGTAGACAAAATATAAAAAGGGATGGGGATGTGGCTCAGCGGTTAAATGCCCCTGGGTTTACTCTCTAGGACCAAAAAAAAAAAAAAAAAAAAAAAAATCCTGCCCAGTTAAATATTCTATGATTAAAACTTAATACTGACCTTTAAAGAGGTTGGGGAGCTGGTGTGTTTGGCCCCAGATTTACATTTGTAACCTTTTTCAAATCCTTTCTCATCAGGTAGAATTAACGGTGGAGAAGGAAGTGGCTGGCTTCTGGGTCAAGATTCCATGTGTGGAGCAGCTTGGCAGCTGTACCTATGAAGACTTCTGTGATGTGCTTAACACTGTAATTCCCCCTGGGGAGCCCTGCCCAGAGCCCCTGCACACCTATGGACTTCCCTGTCACTGTCCCTTCAAGGAAGTACGTACTTAACAAGGTTGGGTGGTGGGGAGCATTACTTCTGTGGCTGGAGTAAAGAGGGGGTTTGGAGAGGAGAGTCTTCGCGTTCTCCTTTTAGATGTGTCAGTGTGGGGATATGTAAGAATTGCTTATCTTGGGGTGAAGTGGAGGACTTGAACTTAGCTGTGACAGGTCCTTTCGATGCTATGGCAATCTCTAAGATTGTGGGGACCCAGGAGAATGGGAGAAGGAGTTCATGGCAGTCCTCGAGGTGGCTCCAGGAACGAGAGTCCTATCATTGGGTTCCCCTGACCCGAGCTCCACTTCTTTCTCACAGGGCACCTACTTGCTGCCCAAGAGTGATTTCACAGTGCCTGACTTGGAGCTTCCCAGCTGGCTCAGCACCGGGAACTACCGCATCGAGAGCGTCCTGAGCAATGGCGGGAAGCGTCTGGGCTGTGTCAAGATCTCTGCATCTCTAAAGGGCAAATAAAGTGGCAACAGCCACAGCAGAATGAAGGGATAGAAGGAAGGCCTTTGTCTTCCTTCGTCTTGTTTGCCAAGGCTCAATTCTGACTCTCTGCTGTGTCTTCAAGCCCTTTTCTGTGATGATTCCGCTGCCCTCACTGAATATCCTTATGTGCCACTTATATTTCAAGCTGGTTCAAGCAGCTCTGAACTAAGGGAGGGTGAGTGTGGCAGTTCCCAAGAGCCCAGGATGTCTGTGGGCTAGCCACATCATTCTCCTCCCCATCCAGATAACTTTCTAAGAGCTTCTTTTATTTCCAAGGAAAGGAAACCAACATGTTTGGGGACTTTAAGTTCAGACTGACCCAGTCTTGGCCTCCAGAAGTACCTTTTTAACTTTCTCTTTCTTTTTGTCACTAACTGAAAAGCAGAGTTCAGGGTATTAACATTTTTCATCCTACTCCAAGCCCCTCCTATAGTAAAGGGGCTGAAGTAGTTGATCTGCATCTGCTCCTCCATTAACTTCTATAATTAATTTTGCATTCTTTTCTAGGTTTGCCTGACACTGGGACACAGTGTATCCTGGAGAGGAAGGGTGTATGTGGTTGAGGTTTCCTTGAAGGAGTTATTTTAGGAATGCTTTAGTTGTTTACAATCAGTCTCCAATTCTGGTGGCTTTAGGGCCAAGCAAGAGACATCGGTGAGCAAGAAGGAGCACTAGAAACATGCTGCTTCCAGGTGTGACCTTTGGATAAAGATAATACATGCATTGATGCAATAAGCATTCCTCATACTATACTAAATAAATAAATAAATAACTGACTGAACTGATACAAGGCAGCTGAGCTCCAGTTTGCAGTTGGAGATATGATATAATGGAGGATGTACTTCAATCCATAAGGGGCAATTGCATTCTAGCTGATGAGTGCCATATAAAAATGTTCTGGGTCCAGAAATGCCAGATAGTCACATTTTTCCCCCTAAAGAGGCCAAAAATGCAGATTTTTAAATATGAAATTTTACAATTTTTATGTATTGGCAACTACTTGTTCTTTTTTATACACTGTTGGGGCCAAAGGGGCCAAATGTACTTGTCTGGGGAAATCTGGCCCATGGAGGGCCAGTTTGCAACCTCCAAGATAAGACTGTCAAGACAACTCTACTACACCATTTCTCCCTCCATAGGCCCAAATCCAAAGTGGCTGGCCCCAAGGAGATCTGCCAGTGCTGGAAGAGGTCTAGGTGGCCTCTCAGCAGTGACCTGCATGGATCTTGAGGCTACCTGCTCCAGCATTGGAGTTCCTCCAGGTGAGGGACTGATGCTGAAGAATTGAGCACTCTGGCAGCTGCCTTGTGCAGCAGAGATCTGATGAAGAGAAGGTGGATTCTAGGTCAGGCTGCCTGGATTTGTCCACTACCCTGTTGTGCTGTGATAGCTTTCTGAACCATGGACAGCCCCACATGCCAGGCTTATTTGAAGCCTGAATTGGCAATAAATCTTTTTTAACTTGCTGAGAGTTCCTCCTTTGTCTCAGCCGTATGTTTCTTTGGGTATATCTGGGGATTTCAGATGCTTGCTTGCTGTGGGCTGTTTCTGCTGGAAGGGTTTTGTGCAGTGGTCCAGGTGAGCTGAGTTGAGGCATCGCTGGGGACTAGTTATTCTGCTGTTGTCTGGAGACCTGGTTTCCCTCTGCTAATCCCTGCGCAGCTTCACAGGGATGCTGTTTTTCCTTCCCGTCACGTCATGACCTCGGCGATCTTTCCCCCTGTCCTTGGATCTTTCTCAGTTGTTTACTGGTCCACATTACTGGGATCTCATTGACTCAGGTAAGATTTGTGTTTGCCTTGCTCGTGGCTCAGATGCTCCTTTGGGGTTTCTCGGGGGTGAGAAGTGAGAGGTGGCTTCTCAAATCATAAGACAAAATGGACTTTTTAATAAATGTTGCTTCGCCTACTGAAAAGTCATTTGGAAAAAGTTGAAATTAGGTCCATACTTTATACCAGTGCAAAAGGTTGGACTCCCAAATGGACCTGGCTCTGTAAGAAAATGAAACCATACAAATACTAAAAGAAAACAGCTGAAAAATCCAGTGGCCCTAGAAGGTTGGTAAGTAAGTCTGACTACATAAAGAGGAAAAAAAAGATGTTTGGCAAAGAACACCATAAAGTCAAAAGACTTGGAGAAAATATTTGCAATACATGTTCTAGACAGAGGTTAATATTCCTACTACATGAAAAACTAAAAATTAAGGAGCAAAGTAACAAAAACTTGATAGAAAAAAATGGGGAAAGAAATGATCACACTCAAATATATAAAAATGAACCATAAACATGAAAAACATATAAACTCATGGGTAGAGAAATCCGAGCTAAAATGATACTGGGAGGGGGCTGGGGATGGAGCTCAGTAGAAGAGCACTTTCTGGGCAAGTTCAAGCCCCTTGGTTCAGTCCCTAGCACCATGTAATACCATTTAGTATCTGTTATTGGGCTGCTGAAAGCTAAGAAAGTATGACAGCATGTCCTGTTAAGCAAGTCTGTAGAGAAGCAGCCCTTCTCATTGCTGGTGGAAATGCAAATGGAAACCACCTACCATAGTTTGGATCTTGAATTCCCCCAAAGGCCTGTGTTTTAAAGACTTAATCACCAGCCTGTGGCACTACTGGGAGGTGGTGGAACCTTTAGTAGGTGGGTTCTAGTGGACAGAAGTCAGATTGTGTGCCCTTGAAAGGGCTCTTGGGACCCTGGTTGCTTTCTGCTTCCTGGCTGCCAGGAGGTGAGCAGCTTTCTCTACTACATACTCCTCCATGACGTATTGCCTTGTCATAGGCCCAAAGGAATGTGACCAAATGACCATGGAATGAAACCTCTGAAGTGATGAGACAAACTTTTCCTCCTTAGAGTTGATTATCTTAGCTGTTTTGTCACAATGATGATAAACTGACTAGCATAACTCCTTCTGTAGGGGAATTTGTATATTATTTCCAGAACCCCCTGGGATACCAAAATTTGTAGATGCTCAAGTCCCTTATATAGCATCCTCTTGCATTTTAAAAAAATTGTCCTGGGGATTGAATCTGGGACCTTGAGCATATTAGACAACTGCTCTGTCAATGCCCTATGTCCCCAGTCCTTTTAAAAAACTTTATTTTGAGATAGGATCTTGCAATTCTGCTTCAACCTCCTGAATAGCTGTAATTATAGGCATGCACCACCACGCTGGCTTGCTCTTCCATATTTTATTATATTTATTTTTAGTTTTTAAATTTAACATGTGAAGACTTAAATTATAATGATAGGGTAGCACAGTTTTTTTTTGATACATATGTAAATTGTGTAATGATTAAGTCGGGTTAAATATTTATCACTTATTTATTTTTGTAGTTGTAGGTGGACAGCATGCCGTTATTTTATTTGGTCATTTTTATGTGGTGCTGAGGATCCAACCCAGGGCCTCACATGTGCTAGGCAAGCGCTCTACCACAGAGCCCCAGCCCCAGCCCCGGCCCCAGCCCCCATTTATCACTTATTTATGGTGAAAACATTCAAACTCCTAGCTTTTTGAAATATACAGTATGTTATCACTAGCTATACACATCTATTTATATAACAACATAACTGAAGTTCTTATTCCTATGATTTTTTTTTACCCATTGATCAATCTCTCCACATCCCTTCCTCTCTGTTTCTCTTCCCCAGCCTCGAGTAAACATTCTATTCCCAAGCAATCAACTTTTTTTCTACATTCCTATGAAATCAACTTTTTCCCTCACAATTGAGATCATGCAGTACTTGTCTTTCTGTGCCTTCCCTGCATTTTTTAAATAATCTCTAGATTGTTAATATTGCCTAATACATGTAAATGCTATGTAAAAAGTTGTTATCATATATTATTTAGAGAATAATAACAAAAAATCTATATGTTCAGTACAGACACAATTTTCTTTTTTTTTCGAAGAAAAATGTTGATATGCAATTAATTGAATCCATAGATGTGGAACCCATGCACATGGAGGGCTTGTATTGATAAAATTACAAAAACATCCTTTGACCCAACCTCTGGGAATTTTTTCTGAAGATACAACTCCAACCATAAAAAGTACATATGCATTCAGTTTTTCATTATCATGCTGTGATCATAAATAGTAAAAACAACATAAATGTCCCTATATAAGGGATTGAATAAATCTTGACAGTTCAATTTAGTTGCAAAGAAGGAGGAAGATCTTCATGAGTTCTTTTCAAGATACATCGTTAAGTGCAAAAACCAAAGTGTAATAAGTATATGTTATGTTTTGTGTAAGAAAGATAAGGATATAAGACAAGATACATGTATCTGCTCATCTGTGCAAAGTAAACAAGCACAGATTACCCAGAAATGAATGAGATTATTTACCTATGGAGGGTGGGTGGGAATAGAGGGGAAAGAAGGCGGTGTGTGTGTGTGTGTGTGTGTGTGTGAGAGAGAGAGAGAGAGAGATACCAGGGTATAAAGGAAGAAGAAGATGGGACACTACTCAGTATATCTGTATAACTATGAGTCTTAGAGCCACAGTAATGTTTCCATATGTTACTATGCATTTTTTGTAGCATTTATGTGTGCTAAATATTATATGTAGAGAAGATTTAAAACATGCAGGAAAGGCACAGAAAGACAAGTACCACAGATCTCATTCACATGGAATATAGAAAAAATCAAACAGGTTTTGAGGAGAGTTCAAAATGGAATTCAGTAATGAATGAATGAACTGTATTTCAAGTGAATAATACAACCACACTGGCGGGCGAAGAAAAAAATAACTCACTTAAGTTACAGCATTGTGATGGGCTGCCATACAGGAACTGCACACACACACACACATTGAGTCTGGTTAGTCAATTTGTTTTTCACAGCTGTAGGGGTTAGTGGTTTGGAAACTATGTTATGTGTACATGAGGAATGAGAAGATAAATATATTGTGGATGTTCAGATCGAAGATGGCGGTGAAGGGAGAGCATTACCCCCGTGTACCGCGTCACTGTGCGGGAGAATGACGAGTTAGAACGGCTAAAAGCTATCTTGTTAGGAATTTCCAGCAAAATTGGGGTGCTCCAAAACCTAGAGGAGGATTTCCATCACACGAGGATCAGCTACGGGGGCTCAAATGCAAGAGATTTGTCCGCACGGAGGGTCACGCTGCTTATTCAGCAAATTGCCCCACGGCTAGAGTCTGTGGTGCGCGCTGGGAAATGAGGAGATAGCAACACAAAGATACAGCGCTGCAGTTTCTGCGGGCTTCTGCCAGCTGTGCAATCACCATACTCAGTGCTGAATTCTGGGTTTGAGACGGGGAAGGAAGCGGTCCAATTCGGTTCTCCACACCGGTCAGACTACAGAGGAAGCCAGCGGCCACCATCTTGGAGAGCTGACGTCACCATCCCTGTTTTCGACTGATTGCAGCTCATTCAGCCATAGAACAGGTAATTTCAGGCTGCCATTCGCCTGCGTCTTGCAGACAAATTACTCAGGCTCAGTGCTAAAGAACCCACGGAAACTGCTTCCTGGAGCCTGCTCATATCAGAACATACACCGAGCCCGGAGCGGCCGAATTCCGGCTCCCGGAACTGCTCTGGCCCAGGGCTAAAGAACCCGCGGAAACTGCTTCTCGGTCTGAGTCCTGCTGAATACTGTGGAGGTAAATACCAACCAAGTCTTCATAGGCAGTGGCAACAGGATTGAGACGGGGCTTGTGAGGGCCGGTCAGGACTCACCCGTTGCTTTGGTCACCCGGCAAAGGGAACGAAATGCTGCCATTTGCATGGGATACCAACATGGCAGAGATCTGATGTCATCAGAAAGCGGCGGAGGAGACAACTTCATCCATATCAGCGGCAACAGAAACAGTTTGTCTCCTGGTAAAGAAAGTGAGTCACAAACACCCGAGTCTCTCTCACTTTGTCATCAAGCCAGAGGGGCAGAGCAGAGCCACCGCCTGCGCCCGGAACAGGCCCAGCGGCCTGCCAGTGTGGTAGTCACGTAACCCCAATTGGAATAGGGGCAGGGCAGAGCCGCCGCCCACACCTGCAAAGTAGGCAGACCTGCAACAGACCAGCGGATCAGGCCCAGCGGCCTGCCGGCGTGGTATACACGTCACCCCAATTGGAGTAGGGGCAGAGCAGAGCCACCGCCCACACCCAGAACAGGCCCAGAGACCTGCCAGCATAGTAGTCACAACACCCTAATTGGAGTAGGGGCAGAGCAGAGCCGCCACTCGCGCCCGAAAGGTAGGCAGACTTGCGACCGACCAGCGGAACAGGCCCAGTGGCCTGCCAGCACGACAGACATGTCACCTCATTTGGAGTAGGGGCAGAGCAGAGCCGCCGCCCGTGTCTGCAAGGTAGGCAGACCTGCGACGGAGCGGTGGAACAGGCCCAGCGGCCAGCCGGGGTGGTAGGCACGTCACCCCAATTGGAGTAGGAGCAGAGCAGATCCTTCGCCCGCGCCCGGAACAGGCCCAGAGGTCCACGGGTGT